CGCTCCGACCCGTGGCTCTGGAAGCAGCTCTACCAGCGCCGCTTCGGCCCGCACACGCTACTGGTGCCGCAGGTCGCAGCTGCCGGCAGCGACGGCCCCCGAGCGCAACAGGCGGCGATCGAGGACCTGCGGGAGGGCTTCTCCACTCCGGTGGCCGACGTGCGGTCGATCTAGAATCGACAGCCGTGGCCTACAACAACGCCTCCTGGTCTTCCGGCGCTTGTTAACGACGACAGCGAGAACGAAGAGGTGGATTGGAAGCGGAGATACGAGCTGGCCACGCGCAAGGACTCTGACTACCTGTCATCTCTCGTCATCAACGACGGGCTCTACATCGTGGACGGTGCCCATTTCCCCCTTCATTTACACCCTTTCGGGATATCAACTTGTTGACCGGTACTTTCCGCACATAACAGGGCACACGCAGAACTCGGCATCGAGCGGCAATGTGACCCGCGTACAGGGCACTCGGCTGCGCCTGCAGCATGGCCTGCTGTGGGCCGAGATGCAGTACTCGTCGGGCTCCTCCTACAATCGCCAGACCGGAGGTACAGCACTGGTCACCGCCTCACCTACCCTGCGTGAAAGAAACTGACCCGGTCTTCATGCTGTCGGTCGTGTGTGCTGTGTCGTGTTTTGCTCCGATATTCAGCCGTGTGGGTGGGCCGGTACGACCGCGCCAGCAGGGTGGTCGAGTGGCGGGAGCGGTACGCGACGCACAGCGGCCTCTTCCACTACACGGGTCGGGTGGTGGACCACCACACCATCACGGGCACCTACCGGTGGGACGTCAACGGTGCCACGGGCACCTTCGAGCTCCACCTCGCACAACCAGAAGACCACTCGCGCCGATGGTGAACTGTTCTGGCATCTTGGCGCCAGTCAGAACAGCAAGAGCAGTTCTTGCACCACCGAGCAAGCCCAAAAAAACAGGTTTTTCCTGGTAAACTGTATCTCTTTTATAAAATGTGGTCACCAACCAGAATCCAGAAAAACAAAAACTGTTGAAGCGGATGAAAAGGGTGCGAGAGGAAGAAGCTGGGCAGGGCCAAGAAGCGAAGCCAGACGCGATAAAAAACAGTAAGAGACTGAGATTGGGAGAAGAAGATGAAGAGAGAGGTGAGGAAGAAGGAGTGTGGAACCTGCTGAGCGGCCTGCCCTATGTCGTACTCCACCAACTGCTGGGCTACCTTGCCACCTCATCGTCGACCACTGTCAGCGCCGGTGCCCTCCGCGTCTGTTTTTATAACATAATTATTTTTATTTTTAATTATTTTTGTAATTAATGTTGTGTGGGATACCGCAGTGGTGCCCGAGGTGTGCCGTGTGCGCGCCCAACGAGCCCTCTTTGATTGGCCCGACGACTGTGACTCAGCCACTACACGGCGCCAGCAGCTGCACGGCCTTGCCCCCTAGTTCGTACCACCGACGACCTTTGTGTGTCGTCCACGCTGTCTATCATGACGTTGCTCTATTAGGTGCTGACCTATGCGGCGCGCACGACAGCTTTCAAGAAAGGGAAGAGCGAGGCGCCAAGCAGCAATGGACGAGCGTGGCCGCGCTACGTCTCACCTGCCGCTCCGTCAAAGCTGCAGTCGACGAAGCGCTCAACACCCGCAGCGGCCGGCGCCTCAAGAAGGCATGCGCGCTCGCCGAGCCGCTCGACCAATTCCTGGCCCACCACTTCTTGTCGGACACAACCACGAGGGCCGGCGGCGGCGGTGGTGTGCCCCTGTTCTCGGCGTCGGCCGGCGACGCACAGGCCAAGAACCGCGTGCGCATGATGGCCGAGGCGGCGCTGGGCCTGGCCGGCGCTCGCATCCACCAGGCGCGTCTCGGCGAGGTGCT